AAAACATTGTTTTCCGCATGCAACCGGCGTATTTCCTCGCGCCTATGTCTCCAACCACTCACATCCTTTCTCATCTGCTTCCTGTTGTCCATTGCGGTTAGTCGAAGCTAGATGAGCGACCTATTATCAATCGTCCGCTGAATCTGTATGTGTAAGCCGAGGCAAAGTGACTCAGAATTCTGCATTGATTGAGAATCTCGATTTCCTGTCAGATCACCATTATACACACGTTGCGCACAATGCCTAGTGTGGCGAAAGTCGCGTACTAACACTGGTTTTCCCCTCTTTGGTCAGACTCAGTCACGTGTGAATACGCGGTCTTTGCGCCAATTTTTTTACTCGCAATTGAACCAGTAAAACGTCAACCAACAGCTGAACGTGCTTCTGCCTGAATATCATCATGCACCGTTAGATATTCGCCGTAGACAGCTTGAGTCGGTTAGAGACACGTTTTTCACGGAGTAGGAGCATGATCGGGGCAGGATCAGGGACGTAGGAAGTAGGCGGAGAGACATTAGCGGTCATGAGGGCGACCGGTGGAACCGATCCTCGCCATTCTGCCAGAATCTGACTAATCAGTATCGTCTTTTGGATGGGATTATGGAGGATCTAGGCGTGAAGTCCAAGATCACTGTCGTGGAGAGCCAGATCTCGCGGAGAATCGTCACACGTGGAGGTGTATAATCTGCGCCACCACCAAGACCGGTCAAATCGGACATGATCACACTTGCACCCGTGTCCTAGTCGGATGCTGCTACAACCGGGGGCAGATGAGTTCTCAGAAACCCAGATAGGTGCTGACTTTCTTGGACTGAACCACTTTCTGATAAAGTGAATATGGGTGAATATAACAAGAGGCCTATCTCATGAATTTCTCCCAACGGGACGCATAGTCTCCGGCTCCAACGTCACAGATCATTACTCGCATCAACCAGATTTACTTAAGCAAGCAATGGCAACCTGGCTGGCTGCCCATCGTCGGATGGATGATCGATTTGTTTGTCCTTCTTCCTGACTGGTTCTTTCTCATCCGCTGTTCCTGTGTTGGGTGGATGTCCTAAATGTCGTGGCTTGGGGGACCCCAAATGATGAGATCATTCTGGCCTACGGACTAAGGGCCAGCTTGCAATGGCATGAGCTTTTACCTGCAGTAGGTGGGCTAGCTCATAAAATGTCAACCGAAATTCCGAATTGCGTTTCCGATTCGAAGAAATTAATTAAGTAGGGTTGTAAAACTAGTCAGCCAGCAACATAATTCTATAATTCTATAGTAATTCTTTGATAATTATGTTACCTCAGGATGCCGGCTTTCGAATGATTTTCCTTCCGCCTGCTTGCAAAACTACACTCTGTAAAAATGACTACTTAAGTAGCATGAATTTTCTCATTGATTTTCGACGCCCCTAAAAGCCAAACATATTTCATGGAAAACATACATAAAATATTCATCCTTTTACTCATTCGATAGAAAATTACGTCTTCTTCTAATTTTATACTCAAAAGAGGGATATGATTCGGTTTTAAAAAAAGTTTCTCATTGTGGGACTTTTAAATACCGTCATGTCTCTGCTTTTACCAATGTGGCTTGTAAAGTTAACAATATGGATCAAATCCACTGCTACATTTTAAGAACCTTATATGGTCCCCCCCTTTATTACCGTAGAGAAATGTGTGGTCTTCCGTTCGTAGAAAATATACGGCCTGTAGTTTGGAAACCCTGAATCCAAGTGCAACAGTAGAGCGGATTCAAAATTATTCGGGGGTTGGAAAAGTTTCTGAAAACCGAATTATACCCTTTCTTCGAGCATGAAATTGGAAGAAGACGTGATTGTCTACCGAATGAGCAAAAGAATGAATATTTTTATGCATGTTTTTTATGAAATCAAATTGGACTTTTCGGGGCATCGAAGGTGAATGAGAAAACTTCATGCTAAATAAGTAGTCAGTTTTTACAGAGTATAGTTTTTATATGCAGCCGGAAGGAAGTTCATTCAAAGGCGGCATCCTGAGATAACTGAAATGTTATAGAACTATGCTGCAGGCTCAGTAATTTTACAACCCTACTTAATTAATCTTTTCGGAACGAAAACGCATTTGGGAATTTCGGTTGACATTTCATGAGTTAGCCCACCTACTGGCCTACGGACCGCTGGCCAGCTTGCAATGACATGAGCTTCCGGCAGCTGCTCCCTGACCAGACCGTATGTGCGGGTGCCGAGTACGTCGCAGAGTTGATGATTATCTTCTTGTTTCAGCTGGGAGAATACCTGGCTCTTTCCTCCAGCGGTCAGAGTACGGCCGCACCCTCGGACGTTGATGAGCCGGGGCCAGCTCCCACTGTGCCGCGCATCCACAAACACCGTCCTCCGCGGGTCCCCGCGGACCAACTGCGTACTGCCCTGCTAGCCGCTATTGGTCAGGACGCTGCTGCATCCACTGCCGACGGAGACGATCAGCTAGATGAAGAGGATGAGGCCGAGGAGGAGGAGGAGGAGGAAGTCATCGACTTGAACGCACCTGGCGATGCATCTGGGAGAGAGGAGGAGGGGGACGAGGAGTACGATCTTACAGAGGACCTCGGCGTCCGCGATCGCAGACCGCCCCTCATTCTCAAACGCGGACGGCGTAAAGTTAGTAGGAAGGGCGAAGCGGAGGAGGAGGAGGAGGCGGATTCTGACGACGATTTGGACTTTGCTGACATGGAAACTCGCATGTCAGATAGTGAAGACAGTGATGGGAACCGTCAGCACAAAAAACGAAAAGGGATGCGGGAGGAAGGGGTCGATCCGGCGGAAAGGAAGAAGCGGAGGAAGAGCCTGCAGGTAGGTTGGAATCATGTCCCGTCTTACAGTTATGATGTTTTATATGGTCATCCTTAAAATGCCTAAAGTTGCTTACCGGCATATTTTACCTAGTAAAGTTTTGAGACCTGCCTCTGCGTTGTCTTTTAGCGCAAAAAATTGCTTTTGAAACGGAAAAAACGAGAGAGCAATCTGGAGAAACTCAAGGACCTGGTAAGTTTAGCTCTTCTGACATTCCAATTTGTTTTTCTTAAAATCTGGGTGACTTTTCTCACTTTCTCATCCTCATTTGCAGTGGGTCGCAACTGAGGATGGAGAAGAGGACGACAGGTTCGACGACTTCCTCTTGAACCCCGCATTTGGTGTCAGTCAAATGCATCGCAACTATAAGGACGCGTTAGATTTTCTTAACTTTATGCGCCGGCGACGAGCCCCAAAGGTGGCGGGCTCGGTAAAGTCCTGATCGATCCCGCCCTCTCCCCCCCCCACCCTCCCCCACTGTACACAAACTCTTGTACATTATACTTTGAATTCATAAATAACGCCTACTGTCCATTTTTCAGTAACATGTACGGAAACTTCACATAATGCCTTGCCGACCGTCCATGCCGACATGCGAGCAATAAGCAAATAGTCCCTACGGACACGATGATTATCGGGGTATGACATAAACGGGGAATAGTAAAGTCCCTCTTTACTGCTTTTTCTCCAATTATCTACTGGATCCGCAAGAAAACGGAAATGAATCTCAGTTTTGGCGAATGAGTTCACTCATCTGGCAAATCGGCCATCTATATGAGGTCAGGGGCCGTACAAATACTACAGCGTGATGTATGTTTCACGCCAGACGGTGATGCTTAACCGGCCGCCGTTTGACATAATCGCAGAAGTTTTACATGGTGTCTTGGAGAGATGAATAAAGACGATCGCCGTCGAATTCAGGAGCCGAAGGAACGCACGCAACTACTAGCGAGCTGCTGTTTTATGGTAATTCTTGACTTCCAGAGTGCCAGATTCCCTCGACTGTGGTTGGGCTTGACAAGAGCGGCTCGATTACCAGCCGATCAGCGACCTAAACGTCCACCCTAGACTACTGCCACACCTGGAAGCGACTCCCTGCTAAACGAGGACTGTGTCCGTCAAGGCCGTGTTCTTTCAACAAGTGTGCTTGATTGCTGTGTAGGTCAGAATCTTCAGGTCACGGTGACGTTACTTCTATTATAGAAAAAAAGGTTCTGGTGAAATCCCGAATTCCACTTCACCTTCGGAATGCAGGTTCCATTTTGTCAGTCGGCAAAACTGTGCAGGGAGTTCCTTTCTGAACATTCGTAAGTTGATGCACAGCGGTGTCTGTGAAGCATGCATATTTCGGTTAGTTGCCCATTTCTGGCTTCAATGCCTGCGTAGGGTCTTTGTCTTTCCTCGGAACGGGGGGCCCGGTGGCTTTTGTGGGCTGGCTGGCCGACGATGGTACACGAGGCGGAAACGTCTCTTTCATCTGTGCAGTGCCTATTGACTACTGGCCGCCATTTGCCTTTCAACCATCCCCGAGACCTCCAACCATATCGCATATTTCGAACTTCGAGAACTACGCATTTTCGACCAGGGAATGTGTCCAGTCAGGCGAACCCATGGAGTACAGGGGTGTGTTGACTCAGTCGGTGTGTATTCACTGGATGACGGGGTAGAAACACAGTGGGACTCGCCTGCGGGTAAACCCTGCACGCCCGCCGAGATTTAGTCGTTCCTCCCCCCGCCTGCGTCCGGGATCTAGCGCGCGCGGATCAGTTTGCTCTTTGAATACCCAACCTCCGCTCACCGCGTCCATACCGCCCCCTCTCTCCGTTAAGCGCGTAGACTGGCACATCAAGAAAGAGCAGACAGAAAGCGGTTTTACACTCGAGACGGGGGCTTCTCCAGGGCTGCGATTTGTCTCTGGCCCCAGCATACGCATCTGCTGCGGGAACATGCAACCTATCGCGACTAACATGTCAGGAACATGTGTTGCGGGGCGCTCGCCGATCGCGATATGGGACACACGTCCTGCTTTGTGTTTCGAGACTCAACAAAGAAAAGGGAGACTGGCTTATCAGCCGTCTTCAGTCGCCCACACCCAAACTCAAGTCTTGGAACCCCCTGATACTCGATCCTGCGACCTGTTAATTAGAAGTCCATCGGCCTAACTACTGAGCCAAGGGCTCGTTGTCCTGTCGGTTGCGATCGGGAATATACAATGGTAGAGGGACGTTGGACACCTAACCGGCAGGTCGCGGGATCGAGCCCCGCACACTTCGGGGTCGGGTATGGCTGGCTGACGACGGTCGGCAGGCCGGAAATGCCCATTCAAGTCTCCCTTGGCTTTGCCGGTAATTTCATCCTATAACCGTCGTCCTAATTGACTACGTCAGGCGATTCTTCGTCCTCCCTGAGCTATGGCGCGGGATCGATCCCCGGGTGTTCCACACTTCGGGGTCGGGTATGGCTGGCTGACGACGACTCATAAGCCAGACATGGCCATTCCAGTCTCCCTTATCTTTGTCGGTAATGTTAGTCCGCCTACCTTACGTGCTGCTCTGCGGCTGCTGGCTGGACTCGGGAGAGAAAGCTCAGCGAGATGAATGAGTTCTGTAAGGCGATCAGTGAGCGCCCCTTTACCACTGTCTATACTCAATTGCAACAGATGACACAACGAACCCGTAGCGCAGTGGTTAGAGGGGTTGGACTTCTAACCAGCACGTCGTGGGATCAAGCCTCAGGAGCTGCCAAACCTGGGGTTGGGTATAGGTCCGTATATTTTAAGGGTAATGGGCATTGTGTTTGGAAAACCTATTGCAAACGGTACATGCAATAGCTAACCTTAAAGAAAACGTGGTACTAAATTGTCACTAATATGTATCCTAACAGGAGATTTTTTCTTTGAAAATGACACATTCCAACCAGAGGGGAGAATGCCTCGGTCAGAGGTCTGGTTGACTGGTACAGATGCGTTGAACCAAAGTGGGATGCTCAGATTGTATCACGGCGCGCGTAAATCTAATTGTGCAGACTCTGCACGAACCCATAACTACAGCCGTACATAGGAGGGGTGCGGTGGCTGGACTTCTAACCAGAGGGTCGCGGGATCGAGCCCCAGGAGTTGCCAAACCTGGGTTTGGACATAGTTGACTGAAGACGGCTAATAAGTCGGAAATGGCCATTCCGGTCTCCCTGGTCTTTGTTGGCAACGTTATTCTGCCAACATGCGTTGTACCAGCAGGGGCTAGTATCAATTTGTGCTTAAGAATTACTGTCCCCGGGAACCAGATTGACTTACATCATGGGGGGGAGGGGCTTGCATTCTGCGCTCATATTTCGTTTTTCCTGAATCGCGCTGCAGGCCTGACTCTCGCATTGCTCTCTTTTTTTCGGCAAAATCCATTAGATAAGAGATTTGAAATTAGTACATGTGCTGGCACTTTTATCGGAGTGCGCCTTTGGAGTCTTCAGATTTGCATAAATTATTGACAGGTTTTGATTTGCTGGTGATATTACAGGACACCTCAGGTTTTATGGGGGATTCGTCTTAGACGGCAAAAGATCAGTGTCTCCTTGGAGTGTGTGTATATACGCAAACAGGTCAAAGTTGAAGAAATCCGGGAGCCAGTATTGACACTGCTGTATAGAGTAAGGAAGATTGAAATGACAGTGTGTGGCTAATCTGTCGAGATCAGCCGGTCAAACTCAGAATTCGGCTGCTAACTCACTGAAGGTTCGGGCTAAGACCTGGAGCTCAAAGGAGTAATACAAACGTTCTATATTCCGATCTACAATCAGGACAGGTCGACCAACATCGCTACGATGTGTTAAACCAAAAGTGGGAATTACGGCGCGCATAAATCGGACTGTGCAGAGTCCGTGCGAACCCACAACTACAGCCGTACATTTGGTCCACGCGCCGCGTCAACCACTGCTTCCTGTCCAATCACCAGTTGGTTCACAAGCTCCGACAAATCAGTCCTGTATGGGAGAGGGAGGTCGACGCTGGGGAATTCATCCTCGCGGCAAATCAGAGCAGTTGTCAGGCCGCAATGGCTCCGTCTGGGTGTGGCCTTCTCGGGAACGATCACTGCCGTTAGGTCCAAATTGCACCTACAGAGGTCAAGTACATGCAGTGTGTGAACCAGGTCGTGTGTGTGGCACGCAAAGATGGGCTGTTTGACACTGGCAGCCACGATGACCCCGCCCACCTCCGACTGTTTTGATACTCCCTAGTCATTGGAGCAAGATGCGTGAAGTGAGAAGGATTGCGGCAGATTCAGCGAATGCCTGCTTCGCTACACCGCCCCTGTGTCAACACCGCTGTATGAAGAATAACCATCCGGAAACCCACTCGCCTTCTTCGTCATCCAGTTCCTCTTTTTCCTCTTCAGAAGCCGGAAAGAACTCTGACGCACGTACAGCTTTTTGAAATTTCCATTTTGATTCCATCACAGCCAACTGGAGGTCCAATGGCGCCACCACATGACAGTTCGATCGTCGCATCCGACCATGTTCCCCGTGTGCTCCACAGCAGGCTGAGAGCAGGGACGGTGACCTGCGCATAAGATCAGTCGGGCACCGGAACACTTTGTTTATTGTCCTGAGCTTTCAGACTCGTGCAGGAATCCATCGTCAGAGGTGATGGCAGAAACAGGACTCGTGGCAGTTATAGGGCATGTAGGCCAATCATCGACCGACGGCGCAAGACTGCAGGTGACTACGTAGGACTCTGTACGCCGGGGCCCGATCGATAAATCGATTGACTAAGTTATCATCCGAGGCCCAGGCTTCAATCAATTCTCGGCCTGTTTTGTTTCCGGCTCGGGTGACTATTTTGGTGGCTGCGAAGTTAAACTCGTGACTCATTCCGTAGGTGTGGGGGCCACTTGTGACAATGCGTCGCCTCGTCGCACAGCCAGCTTATGTTCGTGTATGCGCGATCCGAGCATGCGTCCAGTCTGGTCTGTGTAGTTACAAGGACAATTTTGACACGGGATGCGATAAACCACGGCAGGATCGCAGTTGGTAGCCATGCCCACTGATTCTACAATTGTACCTAAACCACTCCAGATTGCTCCTCAGACTTTAACGGGTTTTTAATTTTCATGACCCTACTGTGCATGGCGGCTTTGGGACGGTGTGCAATTCCAAAACCTATCTCCGCCGATTATATCTCGCGTATGCTCTACAGCAGACTGAGGGCAGAGACGGTGACTTGCGCGTGAATTCGTTTATAGTGATAGTTGGCTTACGCAGCTTCAACCCCAGAAGCCCACAAAGTAGTCTAGTAAAACGTCTATGCCTCTTCAAAACTGGACCAACCCACCCCCCCCTTAACCACTCGTAGGTTTGAAGTAAGAAATAGTACTTCAAGCCACGTTCGTCTATCGTATAGAGGTGGATATCCAATGACCAAGTCAATTCTTTAGTCATTCAGTCCTTCTT